TCAGGGTTAGAAGGTCACGTGGTGAAAGGAGGAATCCACAGTTTTTTGTTGAAAGATATGTTCATCACACTGTTGGAGTTATGGTTTGGGGTGCTATAGCTTATGGTTCCAGGTCACCTTTAATCTTCATCAGAGGTAACATGAACGCGCAGCGTTATATCCACGAAGTTCTAGAACCCCATCTTTTACCCTATCTTGACACCCTGGCAGATCCAACTTTCCAACAAGATAATGCCCGACCACATGTTGCAAGAGTCACAATAGACTTCTTTCAACATAATGATGTCACATTGTTACCATGGCCACCAAAATCTCCCGACTTATCCCCAATTGAGCACGTGTGGGATATGATGGGTAGGAGATTGCTCAATTTGCAACGTCCTCCTCAGACTCTAGACGCACTTCGAGAGGAGTTGGTGGTTGCCTGGAATGAGATACCACAGGAGGACATTGACCACCTGATCAGAAGCATGCCTAGGCGCGTTGGAGAATGCGTAGCACATCAGGGTGCATCCACACATTATTAAAGGTCAAAGGGCTTTAAAGCAGTGCAATCATTTTGAAATTTTTATCATTTACTTATTATGCTTCATTAAGTACTTATACAAAATTTTATTAAAATAAAACCATTTAAACTGGGTGTTTGGATTTATATGTCACTTAGTATAGTTCTGTGTCTCAGTTGTCGTTTATATATATATATAGCTCTGCCTGGAAGGTCGATACACAGTTTCCTAGGCTAGCGGATTTTTTAATCTTTAGCTTCGGCACGAAGTTACCAACTCCAACACCTATCTCTGTATGCATAGATATCTTTCCTTATTAGGTTCACTTGCTGTTCCCACTCATTCCTGTGTGAAATTGTCACTGAGTAGGGTTTAGCATATTTTGTTATCTTTGGCACTATATCAGAAGGCGTTCCCAGACTGGGGTGGTTTTGTAAGTTCACCAGCATCGTGATATTGTCCATTATACCATTTACCACATGTTGTAGTCTATAAGATGTCCTTGCCTCGTCTTCCAGGGGGATAAATTAAGAAGGACCTCCATAGCTGCAGTTGGTGTAGTACGATAGGCACCAGTGATCAACATACTTCTTTCTGTATTGAGCTTACTTTGGCTTGGACAGTTCTTTGTGCTGCCTTGCCCCACCAAGCTACAGATCCATAGGTTATCATAGGTCTAATGACTATGGTATAAAGCCAAAACATTTGTTTAGGCTTCATTCCCCAGTTCTTTCCACAAACACTTCTTAAGGACTGCTTCCAGATGCGAATTCCAGTTTAGTGTTTTATCTAAGATTATTCCTAGATATTTGGCCTCATTTACAAGCGGTACATTTTCACCTTGGATTGTTGGAGGTCTAATCCCATCCAGTTTTCTCTTTCTGGTGAAAGGTACGATGACTACTACTATTTGGTGGGTAAACACCTCGGAAAAAATCCCTCTGCAAATTTTATTTGTTGTTCACCGTCCAGGTACGATCTGTCTCTGAGTCGGTCCACTGGCCAATAAAAGAACGCGAATATAAACATCACGCGCTAGTATTTGAAGTTTGCCGCTATGAACTAGCTCATATTTGTAACAGATATCGTATTCTAAAGATTACAAATATTGATTTTCAATTGTCACAGATTACTTGTGGCTTTATATCTAATTTCAGTTATGTTGTAACTTGCAATTGTAAAGTCTGTATCAGACGTGTTGAATGTTTCAACTGAAATTAGTCGCGTTGACACCTTGATTAGGAAGCTTATTGATAAACTCAGTTTAAAATTTGTTTGGAGCCGAAAAACTCCCATAAATTCAGAAATAATCCTATTTCAAAACTCCCCTAATTATACCCGTCAAAAGTATTGCTTAATCCATCTGAGTGTTTCCGCGTAAAAGGGGAAAGGTTCTGAACAAAAAAAGCCTCCTTTCGCGAGGGAATTTGTTAATCTTAATCCCTAGCACGGCTGACAAAACATTCATCCCTGGTTCGTTTTACTACATCTGTTCTGTGACCAGACAACATGGCACCGCAGAGATAATAAACTAGGGAGACAACTCCTCCAACAGTCACAGTATTTTAGGTATTTCAAAGGCGCCCTGAATTCTGAAGGGTGTATCAATAAGAACGCAATATTTGAATTTAACATAATTTTGGCAGTCATAATGTCATAATGATTGTGACATGACGGATCGATATTAGACAGGCGGGAGTTTATGAAAATGAATTATTACACAATAGAACAGCGTATCGTAATTCTGAAAAATTATTATCAAAGTGGTGAAAGTTTCAGCTAATATTCGGTCGGAATAATGTTCCTACCCCATCCACTGTGAAAAGAATAATCCAAAAATTTTAAAGTACTGGTTCTGCTAATGATGTGAAACATACGAGACGAGCTCGCAGCAGTCGTTCAGAAGAAAATGTCGGAGCAGTTCTCGAAAATTTGGCCGACAGTCCAAGGACGTCGATTCGTCCTCGCGCTCAAGAATTGGACATTAAAACAGACACTCTCCAGAGCATTCTAACGAAAGATTTACACCTGCATGCCTACAAAGTCCAATTGACTCAACAGCTTATGCCAACAGACCATGCACAGCGAAGAGAGTCTAGCAATTGGATCCTTGGCCAACAATATGTGAATGGTGATTTTGTAGACAAAATCATTTTTAGCGATGAGGCCCATTTTCATCTCGATGACATCGTCAATAGACAAAACTGCCGCATGAGAATCCAAGAGTAATTCATGAGAAAGCTATGCTTCCAAAACGTGTCACTGTTTGTAGTGCACTATGTTCTGAAGGAATTATTGGGCCGTTTTTTTTTTGAGGACGAGGCGGGTAATCCCCTAACAGTGAATGTCGAACGTTATCGTGCAATGATTACTCAGTTTTTGTGCCACACTTAGAAATAAAGGCTCTGAATGACATATGGTTTCAGCGGTATGGTGCCACGTGCCATACTGCTTATGAACCATTGGAAGTTTTGCACGAGTTTGCTCCTGGTCGAGTCATCTCCCGGTTTAGTGACCAGAATTAGCCGCCACTCTCTTGCCATTTGAGACCTTTTAAAATTTTACGTCCTTATTGAAACACCTTTTACAATAGCATGAAAATACCGAGTCAATCTACTAGATACCATTTTCGCACTTTAGCGCACCCTTGCTGAAATATATCCCGACCTACGGTTTTCATGAACGGCCCATTATAATTCAATTTCGAGATAACAATGCAAAATTAGAATATTGCGAAACACATGCTCGATCTATGCAAGCAAATTTGTAATGCCTTGAAACCACGCTTTTCTGTAATTAATACCATGTTCCTACCCGATATGCCAGATAATAGAGACTTTGGAAATTATGTTACCCTTATCTTATCATCTACAGTGTTTTAATAACACTTTACGGTCATTATCAAATTACTTATCTGGCTTAAATTGGTGTAAAGAACAATAGCGTGTTATGCCACTCGAGAGGGGGCGTTAAAATATGTGTATGGACAGACTCAAGGACTGTTTAGTGAAATGCTAACAACTGGAATAAAATATCTCCTCCACTCAGACCTCTCAAAATCTTGAGAAACCTTGAACCTCCTTGGTTCTCACCAGATAATCCGGATTCTCGTAAGGTCTGCTAAATATAAGGGTTAACAACCATCGGTTATAATGACAATACAGGGTATCATGTATTTTCTAGACTCAAAATAAGTCGATTGGCCATAATTTACCTCTATGCAAATTGCTTGGCCACAATTTTCGTTCCTGTACATGACAATACGGTGCAAAAAAATATAGTTACTCTCTTTTCTCTTAGATGTCATTATTCTTAAATGTATTCACCGCATTTTTAATCCGATCCTATAGTTGATTGGCGATGTCTATCTGAACCTCGCATGTCTTTGTTTTTAATGCTTCTCATATAAAAAAAAATCGCAAGGATAAAGATCCGGGAACAAGGTCGCCATCGAATAGGAGCCTCTTGACTTCTAACAATCCATCTACCATCAAATTTCTCGTTCAAGTAATTTCTTACAGCAAACGCAAAGTGAGGTGGAGCACCATGCATAAAAACATGTATCTTTGCATTCAGAGGCAGCTCCAGGTAAAACGTATTGTAGAAAATGAAGATAGCTATCTCCGTTTATCAGGCAACCTATAGGTATACGAGGGTTGTTTCAAAAATATGGTTTCCACATTTTTTTCAGACACAATGTTTTATTTGAAAAAACGAATTCACCATTGGAAACTTTTGTCTTTATGCTATTTTTCTCTATAGTCGCCCAGAAGCTTCAGTAATTTCACCATTTAGAAAAGTATTTCAACCGAGCATGTGACAACTGGCTGGCTAGTAACCCGGGAAAGACTACCACAATTTATGAAATACCGGAGCTGGTTAAAACGTCACTACCATTGGCTGCTACAATTGAAAATATTCAATCAGGATTCGGAGTATCCGGGATTTCACCATTGAATGAAAACATTTTTCCTCGTTCCAAGTTTAGTGGTTCTTGTGTGACAGATAGGCCGATGTTCACTTCCCCTGATGGTGATAATCCTTCAGCAAGTGATGTGAGCAGTGTCTGTTTCATCGACTTCCGATGCATCTAACAGGTTGTCTATCGTCGAAGAGGTTCCAATTCCTGATCACCATACAATAAATGAAACACACTCTCTGGCACCGCAATGTTTATTTGTAAATACAGACCAGATTACTACCACAGCACCCTCTCCTACAAGATCTTTGAGGACTCAATGTGAGTCACCTTCTCTTTTTGAGGAAATATTCGATTCTGTATTTGAACCGGAACTGAGAGAAAACCTCAAAACACCAGAAAACGCTCATTTCTACAGAAGCAAATGTATGTGCCCCCATCTTTACACAATCTAGACCTTCATCGACTTCATCAGCAACATTTGAAGAGCTAAGACATTTTCCAAAAGCGGCGCCACTTTTAGAAACTAGAAGAAATATTCGGAAACGTAAAAGGACTATACATACCGACACCCCGGAAAAACTAAATCTTTTAGATATGAAAAACAAAAGAGAAACATATAAGAATAAAAAAACAGATACAAAGGACAGAATAGAAAAAGGAATAGGGGAGGGCAAAGGAAAAGGAAAGGGTAAAGGAAAAGGAACGGATAAAGTTGATGAGATTGCTGATGACACCGTCGACGAAAATGACGGTAATGCTGTAGATTCAGATGACGAGAGTACGATTTGTTTAGAGTGCACTGAATCCTACGTCGATAGTGTTCCAGGCGAACAATGGATTCAGTGCATAACTTGTAAATTATGGGCTCACTCCAAATGTGTAAGAGGTGATCTAGTGTTTTTTAAATGCAAACATTGCGCTTCTGATATTGAAGACTTATATTATAAGATATAAAGGCACTGTTTAATTAATGAAACTAATAAATGTTTAAATAAAATCTACAATATATTCAGATAAGAGATAGACCGGACATAAACAAGACCACGTGATCATCGAACGCTGTAACATTCGGCAGGGACGTATTAAGAGTCACGCAGTACATATTTTAGATATTAGATGCTGCTTTGCGTAACTGTAGTAGATTAGCACAATTCTATGTGTATACGATTGGTGATGGATATAGGATCATGTGGGGGTGGGGTAAGAAATATATAATGATGTAAATATACATAAAGGTTTCAAAATTTTCGCTTCGATTTCCAGCTTCGGATGCCGCCTGATGTTTGGTGAAATACAGTCGAATATAATCTCAAAATGGCGTTTAAATTAGCCTAAATTAAAAATAATCGTATATCTCTTAAAATTGCTTTTAGAATATTGATTAGTATATTTTTGATTTCTAGGTAAATATGTAACCAAATTAAAACGTTCAAAACGTAAAAAATGTGCATGGCTGAACATTGTCAGAAAGTAGATTCTTGAATAGGTTTTGCCAAAATGGGTTCAAAAATGTCAATAATTAATTAAAAAATACAGTAGCTTTGTAATTACTTATAACTTACCGAATTTGATGATTATTGGAAAGATGAGCTTGATGAGCTTTCATCATCGCTACTGCCTGAAGCACCAACGTCAATAATGAATGGCTCGACTTGTTCCTCTAAAATATTGTCCAGTTCCCACATTCTCTTTTCAACTTTGTCTTTCACGTGCTTAATACAGTTTTCCCATTTTTGCGCTGTTATTAATTCTAGTGCTTCTTTGAAAAGTCCTTTGAGGTCACAAAATTTAAAAGTTGTATTGTGCTTAGCTATATAATTTTTAACCTCTGCCCATATGAGCTCAATGGGATTGAGCTCGCAATCGTATGAAGGTAAACGGAGCACAGTTTTATTTTGACTTGCTGCCATTTCGTCAATGGCGTATTTTTGATATTCCGCCTTGTGATCCTTGAAAATTCTTAATAATTGTACTTTCAGCATTGCTTTTTCAAAGTTGATATTTTTCGAGCGGAGCCAATTTTGAACATCAACTTTCCTTGAAGCCGTTGTTGGGACCTTCTCCATTCTTCGAGAATGATAAGGCGCATTATCCAACACAATTACTGCGTTTTCCTCTAAGTTCGGTAAAATTTTTGAAAACCACTGTTCAAACGATTCGCCATTCATTTCCTCGTGGTAATCTCCAGTTTTCTTAGACTCAAAGCACCACAGACCGTCAACAACAAATCCATCCTCACTGCCAATATGGCAGATAATGAGCCTTTTCCCTTTACCTGGAAATCGAAGTACTAACTGGTGTAGATTTATTTCAATAAGCGAATCTTTTTCAAATGTTTTCATCACATTCAGCGAAAAAACATTGAGACATGAGTATCAGATTGCTATAATTGGGATTATTTAGTCATATTGAAAGAAAGAATATTGAACGTCGTATGATTACTCAGCGCTTCACAATTTAATTTAAAGTTATAAACCTTTAAAAAATGAATGATCAGGAACCTGAAATACGCGCAAATATTAATATTAACAAATTATAACTTTATAAAGCTTAAAGTATGAATTAAAATGATTAGAAATATTAGCAACGGTACACAATATAAAACTTAGTAACTTTTTTTAAGTTTATAATATTCGACATATTTTAAGATTATATTAAAAAATTATTGAAATATCGAAAACACATAAAAACATGGCTTAAAAAAGTTCTAACAAATGAAAATGACAATAAAACATCCACGCATTTTATCGAAAGTTATAAAAGTTTTGTTACTTGTAATATGTTTTATCTGCCCCCTGGAATTAATGTTTAGAACCTTGTTCCCAAGGTTTGAAAAACATCCGATTGTTGTCTATTACTCGTATTTACCTGCTGGATTTTTTAATCCGGTGGACAGTCCATCTAGAAAGGCTCTCCTGGATGAAGTTACAGAATCATCAACCCATACTTTACTTGTAGTGTGTCCTGCGTTTACCCGCGTTTCATCAAGGTAATAAATCTTCCTGTTTTGATTTCTATATTTCCCAATTTTTGTTAAATAATCCCTCCTCCATAGCACAATTTCTTCTCTATCCAGTAGTAAACTATTACGACCCCGTTTTTTCCATTTGAAATTTAAATGCTTCAGTAACGCATGGAAACTTGATCGTTTGAAATTTGGCAACGTTGTATCTCCATTTACCTCCTGCAGTACTATATCTATAGTAGGTATTTCATTCCTAAAGAAGAATTCATGCGCTTTCCTCCTAATCGCATGCTTATCAGCTTCATCCAATGATTTAACAATACTTTTGCGATGTTTACTGGTCATTGGCTCAGAAAAGGTGTGATTTTTTTTGTATTGTCTTAACACATTAAACACTGATGCGCGACACACCCCAACTTTGTGAGAAACCTTCACAACAATTTCTTTGATGGTTGATGCCTCGTTCTCCTCGCGCTCGATCTTATATATATTCAAAATGACCTCTTTCATTTCTGCACTCAGGTGTCTTTTTTTAGAGCGTTTCCTAGGTGGACTACAGGAGTTTACAACTTCATCGGCAGTATCTGTACTACTGGGCATTTTGCGCAAGCAGTTGATAACAATAACAATCAATAACAAGGTATAACAATAACAACGACAAACTCAACAACTTAATAAGATAACAAACGAAAACGTCCAAAGAAATATCAAATTGCAATGATGCACACGACATACGTAACACGTCTGAACCTGAATGTGACTCTGCCTTGATACGACTGCTTCCGCCGGCTTCTATCCCTTTCTAAGATATGTGTCTATAGATACTTGGTTTTCAGTGCAGATTAATGAAACATGAAACAAGAACCATCGGAAGTTCTGTTCTCTAAGCACAATGACGCTTGTGGCCGAATGTCACGTCAAGGTGTCATATTCCGAGCGTGTCAACGACATCAACACTTTTGACACAGTGTTGCTTGGTGTACGATTATTACAATTTTTATACGATAACCGGGAGAAGAGAGAGAGGTCACCCCCTCTCACCAAATAATCTCTGGTCACAATATCACAAGGACATTCGAAAGAAGTCTCGCCACCCCAAAATGTCCCTCTGTGAACAAACTTATAGTTTCGTTAATATTACACGTGTCTAACAAACCCCCATCCTCACGCCCCACTTTTCAATGGATTCTTCGAGTATAGTTATGCCTAACGCCCCTCAACTTTGCTCTTCAGTTATCGTGAACAGGCAGGCTACTTAGGCGCTTAGGCCAGTCACTACTACACCTCCTTGGACGACAAATGCATTCTAATCTCTAACCTGGAGTTTTATGGTGAGATTCCTGGTTAATTTTCACCTTAAGGATTGGCGATTTCTGTCGATTTTCTCATCAAAGCTCGGCGACCAACGTGACTGAAAACCTGGCTAACCTGACTGGGCATCGCTTATAGCCGCTTGTTGCTGGGATCGGTGGTAGGCACGATACACATACACTGAAGATAGGATATGGCGCATGTGGACGGAGCTTAGTGACGTCACCCGGAGAGTTGTCGGCTCGTGGTTACCAGCGGCAGGATTGTCGTAACGTTACTGCAGTTCACGTGTATCGTGGTTAATACTATATAGTGCGATTTGTTGGTGTTTTTGGGTGGTTTTGTGACCTGTTCTATTAGTTATACATACTTTATATAGCCTGTGTGGTTGATAAATTGTTATAAATGCGGTGGGTGTGCTGTTGTGGGATGTAATTCCGGCAACCAGTCTAAACGGAATCCTTGCAAAGACATGAAGTTCTACAGATTTCCTCAAGACCCAAACCTTAGCATAAAATAGCTACATCTTACAAAAAGAAAAGACAAAGTCAATGTAAAAAGCGTTAGGGTTTGCTCGAAGTATTTTTGTGTATGCCTATAAGGTCAATGTAAAACATACCTTTTTGGGTTACACCCCTAAAAGTTACCGTGCTCTAAAAGATGATGCCACTCCTATGGAAAATTTACCCAAGTCTCTATCATCACCTGGACCGTCTACATCTGTTGATGGGGCAAAGCGGAAAAGTGCGCATCTCAGAGTATTGCAGCGTAGAGGAAGAGGATACTCCGGACATTCCGCTAACCGCATCATTAACGAATAAACTGAATGCACCTGAAGTATCGGCTGACTATAACGAGGAAGTTTTAGTAGAAGAAATGGATGAGCTTGAGTATGATGGGCTGAAAAATTTAACTCCATTTTTCTACTTTTCCAGTTGCGTACATTTTCATACTTGCATGTAGTTAGTACTTAGGATGTCCTGTGAAATAAGGATGAATAAATGTAGTGCAGTATTATCGTCATGAGCATGTTAATCCTGCTCTCCAGAACATACTAAAATATATGTAGGTAATGTAGAAAAATCTTGTTTTTACAGTAAAGTGACGATACATGCTCTATTGTGGAGCTAGAAAGCCGTGGAAGCTATAGCCCGTGAGATAGGAATTACAAGGTTGAAATCCGTTATTTAAATCCGCTATTTTGTTTTGTATGAAATTTTAATATAGATTGTGTCACTCGCACCGCTAAGACCGACACCTCATATGTAAAAATCTATCAATTCGTTTGAGCTGTAGCCTATGAAATATGAATTACAAGGTTGAAATCTCTTATTAAGATCCGCCATTTTGTTTTGTATAAAATTTTAATGTATCTAGTGTCACTCGCACTGCTAAGACGAATCCAACGACAGTTCTTATGTGAAAATCCGTCTATCCGTTTGGCCTGTAGGTGAGAATATGCAGGTTAACCATAAATGATAATCACGCTCCGCGTGACGTCATGCGCGCCGGCGGACGAGAATCGAACAGCGGAGAATCCGGCAAAAACCCGACGATGTTGCCAGATTTCGCCTAGCATCACGTGCGGCGAAGTTACAGTGTTACAACCTTATTCTGGAGACAACCCTCGTAGGCCAACTAAAGAGTTAGGGTCAAGTGGTGCAAAAATGAGACAATAACATTGTAAAAAATACGTTACAAATTACTTCCACATATATACAATTGAAATATGTAATGAATAATGAATAAATGTAATCACAAACATCGAGAAAAAAACTTTTAAATTGTATTTACAAACTTTTCCTGTTGCGCCGCGGTACGTGATCGTAGAGACTCGGCAAGTATCGCGTTTTCAAAATAACAGATGCGGCTATGATATTCCATATCGAATGTAGTCTATTTTTATTTGTTGGCAAGCAGGCACGTCGTGAATAACAGATGCAAAAAGGAGACACCACAAAGTTTAAAAACAAGACACCTGCCAGGTAAAAAACAAGACAGCTTTTATACCTTTGATAATAATGCCGAAGGTTTACGTTCCCAAAAAGTGCCCCTACGACAAAAAGGACATAGAAACAGCCCTAAAGCTAATAGATAATGGCACTTTATCTCTTAGAAATGCAGCTAAACAGTTTAAAATTGACAAATCTGCTCTTTCGATTAGACGTACTCGTTCACTTGGTAAACAGGGAAGAAAAACTTCTCTAACCAAAGAAATGGAAGTAGACTTAAGTAATAAGATAAAAAAATATGGCAAAATGGGGGTTTGCTCTCACTAAACCAGAGATACAAGCAATAGTTCAAACCTTTGTACAAGAAAACCACCTTACTACCCAGTTTAAGGAAGGAAAGCCCGCGAAAGATTGGTTTAAAAATGTTTGTAAGCGCAATAGACTAAGTCAAAAAAAGCTTGAGCAACTGGAAAGATGCAGAAGGACAGCTACAAATGATCCATTCATCATCTTCGGCTTTTACGATCGCCTGAATATTTGCATATCTGATTTGAAATTGCAAGACAAGCCTAGACACATATGGAATTTAGACGAGACCAGTTTTTCTTCCGACCCAACCAGAATAAAAGGCGTTGCTGGTATTGGTCAGAAAGTTCACCGGAACATAGAGGGGTCAGGAACAGAAAATACCACCGAATGGCCTGAATTTCAGTAAGTGGTACTTTGTTACCTCCTCTAATAATTTTCCAAGGGCAAAATTTATTTTGATCAACTGGCAAAGACTTAATCAGAGAAAACCCTCTAGAAGTGAATTTAGTGAATTGATTTGCAGCATCTGGAATGAAGCTTTATCTGCAGAAATTATTAAATCTTCATTTGAAAAGGTTGGGATATTTCCATGCGATAAGAATAGATATCCAAAAGATCGCTTAGATCCTGCAAAGCTACTTAGATATAAAGAACATGGGGTGTTTGAAAATCCGCTTGATATTTTCGAAGATTGCGATGAAGAAACTCCACTACCGCAGACCGAACAGTTTATTGAATCTGTTCCAGATCAATCTAACAGTGCTTCTTCCAAGCCATCTAGCTCCTTTGCATCGTTACTTCTGGAGAAAATTCGAAGAACCCCAAACATAACAGCAAGAAGAAGAAAAATAGACTCTATGGAAAAAGTCCTAACAACAGAAAAATATTTAAAGGAAATACAGGAGAAAGAACAAAATAAGAAAAGTCATAAAGGTGTGAAATCCACAAAATCAAAAAAGAAGCAAAAGGCGAGTAAAACAGTAGTTGAGAGTGACAGTGAAAGCAGCATTAACGAACAGCCAGTTTACCAAGATGAAAGCGATGTAGAGGGTTTGACTCTAGAAGATATTATTGAAGATGAATGTGATGACAACCAATCAGAAAATAGAGAAACAAACCATGAAATTCGGAAGCATATGAACTTGGGGAAAATGATTTTATCCTAACTAAATTTAATACTAAAAAGACGCAAGTTTACTACGGGGCACAAATCCTTAAAGTTTTTGAGAGCGATGTAGAAGTAAAATATCTGAGGTGCAAAGGATTTATATTTATTTTTCCGGTCATTGAGGAAAAGTACTTCATCGACAAAAGTGACATAGAAATGAAACTTCCCCAGCCAGAAATAGAAAGTAAGACCTGTCGTATCTCTCAGCAATATTGGTTTCCTATCGACTTTGAAAAATATGTCGTTCAATAATATGTAGTAGAAAATACGTTAGAATAATAAGTTTTCTACTTTAGCTCTTAAGATCCTATTGAAAATCTTGTTTTACCCCTTTTTTGAATTAGTCATGGTTTATTTAACTTGTTTTTGGATTTGTTTTCTTTTTAGTTTAATAAACATAGTTTTGTATTTAATTATGTGAGTTTTCTTTAAGAACGTTGTCACAATTTAAAACCTAACTATGTTATTTGACTTACTAAACACTTTAAAACCCTTGCAGTGTGTCTCGTTTTTATTCCCCAGGGTCTCATATTTTGCCACACTGATGTAAAATGACTAAAAGGCCAGAAAATACAGTGTCTTGTTTTTAACCTCTCACTGTCTCATTTTTAGCCTAAATAGTGGTTAAAAACGAGACACGGTTTTTTAACAAAAACGCCCTTCATTATGAATATTATGAACTTTTTTTAACGTGAGGTACTACATGGCTTTCAATATACAGATTTAAAAATCGTCTCGGTTTTGCACCACTTGACCCTACCAGTAATCCCCATCCGAACGTTTATTTTAAATGCATATTGAAAATGTGTTTCTGAAACTGCATGACACTGATATAACATTCCACATTTTCGGAAAACTAGATGCCTACTAGATTTTAACACTTGGTGTAATAAGTAGATTTTTTAGAAACCAGCTGCGAATTTTGTTTTTCTCGAAAACTATGCGAGATGACCTGTTTTAAAAACAAACAAAAAACTCGACTTCTTGGGAGAGAGTTGCGAAAAAACTCTGCTATAATAACTTGAACAGTTAGTTATATTGAAATCAAGCGGTGAAACGCTGCTAAAGAATCAAATGTCTAATATCTTTTACAGAAAATCAACAAAGATTAAATCAATTCAATCTGTCTCTTACAATTTAGATATTTCAAGATTTTCAATTACCTCTCTAGGTACTTTAGATGCTAAGATAGTATTTGACATATATTTCTAGTATTTGAAATAGTTATACAAGTACGAGGTATTTGAATTATTTCTTTGGAAATACATTTTGATGGAAAACTACTTAGTAATTGTACTTCCGGTGAATAATTCCAAATAATTGATACTATACCAAAAGTACGAAATTCTTGTCAGTGACTCATCGCTGTTACCAAGGGTAGCCGCCCTGAGCAGAGGGGTGGAGAGGGATTGTTTCATGTACGTGCGAACTAATTTTTATAAAAGGTGTTAATATAATATAATATATTTAGCAGATATTTAACAATGTAATTGATGAAACAGAAAAGTTATCATCCCAAATAACTGCCATTATTGTATATATATATATATATTGTACATATATATATATATATATATATATTGTACATATATATATATATATATATATATTGTACATATATATATATATATATATATATTGTACATATATATACAGGGTGACTTCGAAGTTGAGTCATTTATTTTAACAGTGAGTAGATCTGATCAAAAGAAATGTTTTTTTCCTTTACCATTTTTCTGGTAAAATTAAAGTAACAAAGTTTGGAAGTTTGGAAGTTTGAGTACCGCCCTGTCTCAATAATAATATCATGTGGTCGTGTTTGGCGACAACGGAAATAATCCGCCGTATCGGTTCATCGCATCGGAAACAAAAAAGCGAAAGAAAATATTTCATTCATTTGTATACAGTCAGTGTCAGTGAATAGTGGTATCTGTTGCGTGGCTCAAACGAAATAAAAAATGGCACATGTTTATGCGGATCGGTTTCTCAATCGAGTGGAACCAACCCCTCGTGCCTTTGTTAATGTAGTACAACGGGCTCGTGAATCGGGTGACTTAAGACCTCACAGGGGACCTCACGATCAAATACAGGTCCGCACTGAAATACTTGTCGGGAGGATACTTTATAAAACAAGGTAAACATTTTTTTTAATTTTTTTTTTATCTTTACACACATATTTTGGTTTATCTTCCTTCTACAATCATTATCTGAAAATTAATGACTCAACTTCAAAGTCACCCTGTATAATGCAATATAAATAATGTATATATAATAAATATATAATGAAACACCTAAACTTATTAAGACTTCAAGCAAACATAATAAAATTATTATGAATTGTTAAAAACACAAAAACAAAATTATATTAGAATCTAAAAACTTTGATTATTCAATATCGGAGTCATCACTAGACGAGTCAGAGTCGTCGCTATTTAACTGGTTCAACAATAATGTCTATGTGAGTATCCAGATCCCACATTCTCTGCTCCTCTTTGATGGCGTGTTGTATAAATTTTTGCCAGTTCTCCCTAGATACATTGTTGATGGCATTTTGTAACAATAACTTGACATCCGCTAACTTGAAGATTGTATTGTTCCTTGCTATTTCGCCTTTGACTTGCGCCCATATCAACTCAATTGGATTCAATTCACAATAATAGGGTGAACAATAATGCCATGCTGGCGAGCCATTTCATCTATAGCGTACAATATTGACGTGGGTTTGTTTAGCCTAGCGATATTAAGGAGTTCAAGTCTAAGCATTTGTTCCTGGTATGTAATGTTTTTTGTCTTGGGCCAATTATGTCACTTTTCCGCCATGAACTAGTAGCCAACTATTCTAGTCGGCGGCTGTGATATGGATCCATTACTATGACTGACCCAGAAGGGATATCCGGCAAAATGCTTTTGAAGCATGCTTCAAATCTATTTGCATCCATATCGTCGTGATAATCTCCAGTCGTTTTGAACTCATATGTCAGTTATCCTTTGTCCAGAAACCCTTCATCGCTGCCAGTATGTGTTACAATAAGCCCCCGCCCTTTATCTGAAATAAAGATTCAATGAATTCAAGCGTCTAGGAAAACAGTAAATGAAGGATATTAGTCTTCTAATGACTTTCTTGTATTTCCTTTTTTCTGATAAGAACCTAATAAAAAACACTTTTTATCCATTCTAATATTTAAGTCACGTATCCTTCACGTTTATCCTTTTTTTGGTTTTTTTATGAGTAATGGCCTTCAGTGTTTCATAAAGTACTGAAAAAGGTAATAAATTATACTAAGTGACATATAAATCCGAACACCCAGTTTAAATGGTTTTATTTTAATAAAAGTTGGTGAATGTATTTATCTTACTGTAAATAACAAGTGAAAAAATTTTCAGCCTTATCAGTTGGATATTCCGGTTTTTATACTGCTTTTTTTTAATTCACTAACGCTCTAAAAATGAATATTTCAGCCGCAGTAAAGAATCAACGTTGGCGGATTTTGGTTCTTGACATCCTTTACGATCGGTTACGATGCCTAGAGTACGGAGACCTGTACGATTTCGTCAACTTAGTGAGTTTGATAGGGGCCATATAGTGGGACTTCGGGAAGCTGGACTTTCTTTTCGGGCAATTGCAGTTAGAGTGCAAAGAAGTGTAGAACAACAGACCGTGAAGATCGC